ACAAGAGGAAGATGAATGCTGAGAGGGAGAACGCGACTATAAAAGGAAGAAGGATGCGACGTCTAAGGGCCGGGAACGGAAAGAGTGAAAGAGAGAGAGAACAAGATGGGAAGGACGGGACGGATGAGGGGCGCGGGGCTGGGAACGGGAGACGATTCCGGGAGTCGAGGGGTTGCTGCAGTCGGCGGCATGGAGGGATGAAATGGGGAAAACGTTCGCCCGGGCTCTGGCGGCTGGTGTCGGGGCTGAGCTGATACACAAGGGGCCCATGCCAGAGTGTGCGCTGGTAATTGCAAGCTCTATGTAGATCCACTTACAGTGATTAAAAACTGTCCTGCTGGGTATCATCCGCGGAACGGCGCATTAAGAACGTCGGTCAGGGGAGGAGGAGAGGAACGACGAGGACAGGATGCGCGCCGCCGAGAATAATTCCGTCACGTTTCGTACGCGGCCACGTCATTTCGCGCGGCGTTCCAGCAACAATCCCATCGCGTTTTGCGATTGTCGCGATTTGATTCTTGACACTCGAAATAGCCGGTCGTGACAGACGGTGTTCGGTGCCGCTTTTCTTACATTTTTTCAGCCGAATAAATTTGGTTGCGCACCGTGGTAGTAAAATGAAGCATTATTTTTGACAGGAATGACAGGAAAAGAAATTATTTAATAACTCTGAAAGAGTACAAAAGAAATTGAACATCTCTGGTTTTTGCGAGAAAGATCGATTCGAGTTTAAAAGATTTTGTTATCACTTTAGAGTCAATTTGTTTCTCTTCTTTTTTATTAATATAGTATGATATTAGTTTTTGGTTCAGAATAAAGTGATTTTTACAAGGTATTTGATGTTAATTACATTAACGTTAATGTAATGTAATGAACGTTAATGTAATTAACATTAAATACCTTTAATATACAACGTTAATTACATTAACGTTATGTATTAAATTAAGAGTAATGTGTAAGAGCGAGTAATGTGCAAAGTTAATCAGGTTTAGTATCATTGTTTTTCTTGTATCCTCTCTATCTGTCTATATCTATTGTACGCAAACTGCAGCAGTCCAGACTTTCAATTAAGGAAATAAGTTTAGGGTGAAGGCGCATCACCCTGCCATCTCAGTCTTAATTACGGTCTGCTCCGCTTAGCGTGGAGACATTCGCTTTTATTGGTGCGATCGTCGAAATGATTTCATTAGAAATTAATTAGATGTACACAAAACTTAACATTTTGACGATTAACATTTTCTTTTAATCGCGAAAGCAAATCACTTCGCTATACTACGTCATTATGTAATGTTTTTTTAAACCATTAATAAAATAGTGAGTACGTCTGTTTTTAAAACTGATGGAAATTGAAGATCTATAATGTTATAAATGAAATATCTCTTAAAGCATATTTTTAGTATTATATATTTTCTAGTATTGTATATCGTACGTTTGATGGCCTTATAAATGAGGTCAATCCAATTTCTACGTACTTTTTTGTTATCTATAAAATCTCTAACTTGTAAATATCTCTTAGCGAGAATTTGATTAAATGACATTTCTATTTTTTATCGGACTTTAAATTTTTTTATAATTAGATGTGATATTGGAATTCTGTCAAATTTTATTTATAAAGTATATAATAAAATTTAGAATATTCCTTCTCTTTCTCTCTCTCTCTCTTTCTCTTTCTCTCTCTCTTTCTATTATTTATAGGCTTTGCGTATATGTCGAATTTTATTAGCTGATGGCGTTAAAATGTATAATTATATTACTTGTCGAAATGTATCTCGTCGATGCCGAATTAGATCAACCCAGGGTCAGAAAGCAACCGAGCGAAATCCGCGGTTAACTGGTTCGAGAAGGGAAAATCACGACAACGCCTAAGCATAGGGTGAACTGAACGGATAAGCGCAGCACAAATTGCACGATCGTGCGGTGCTTCTGTAGAATTCCTAATGCTTCGATATTTACTTTGACCATCGGCATCAACATAGGAAATAACCGAGATTCGATCAAACAGTATTAAACACAAAAGTAACTACTGCTATAACATTTTCGCATACGAAAGTGCTTGTACGTAGATTAATGATATGTTTATGAATATAAAAAGTGTATCAACATAAGTATTTATACGTTAATTAATATATTATTAACCTACATTTGTACATTTATGAGACATATTTTATCTACGTAAAAGTGCGTCGCAAGTGCGTGCAACTGTGCATTCTTTGTATTACATAATTTGTATTTAATTTGAAGTTGATCCTTTTTCCAAAAATTACAAGAAACCATTTTAATCTGTTTTTATTTTGAACGTAAAGTGATTAAGTTTTTGATCAATATTTTGTTCATGAGTAATAAAATAAGCATTGAGTGCATAATATAAAGTATAATTAAAAGAAAAATTGACACAAAATTAAGATAACATTAATTTAATTAAAAAGCAATAACTTAATAAAAACTTTGTGAAATGCCTACTGTATAATGATTGCCGAATATTGAATTACAATCTTCGCTGATGAGAGAGAGTCATGCATAAAATATATCATGTTACGTTCCTGCGTGATTTCTTTATTTAATAATAATGTTTAATCGTAAAAACAGAAAACGAAATTGAAGAAACTTATTCAAAACCGAAGCATTGTCGATGAATATTAGAAACGAAGTTAGTTAATAAAAATTTTCGTCAATCAATCAAACACGTTTGCGAATTGCGAAATGGACGAGAGAAAAAATAGAATAATGACAAAATAAAATAAACTTAGGCACAGACGTATCGCGTATTGAACCGCATGATCGGAAAAGAGCGGAGGGTAGAATTCCCGTACAGCTTCCATAAAGAGGCGATTAAATATTTATCCAGAAGGTGCTGGACATCTGTCGACATGCCTTGTTGCACTTTATTTTGGCGCGGTGTATTTGTTTAACATTAACGCTACGCCCGCGCGCGCGCGGGCGCGCGCGAACGCGCTCTCTCACCCTAATTCACCTCGTCGTCGTCGTCACTTTGGCAAACAACGGCACACATGCTACGGTCTGCTCGAGGTTTGGTCCGTGGCCAAATACGAATTATTAGCGTTGTCTTTGGCACGTACCACGTTCATGACGTAGTCGACAATCGCGAGACAATTTAAGAAAAATGAATTGCAGACTTTATTCGACGTTCCTTCTCTACAAAAGTTACATAAAACTTATCGAATCATAATTTCTGCACGAACACACACTTTTTTTTTATTTTACAATTTAGAGACGACGTCTTGGACGGACAGATAAAGTGTATTGTTGTATTTAATAAGCAATCGCTGTGAAATAGACATCATTATCCGTGAAATTAATATTTATGTGTGTGTGTGTGTGTATCTCTCTATACATTCATATATATAAAATAAGACTTCTAATTAGATATATCGTTAATTATGAAAACAGAAGAATCTTTTTCCGCCTTAAAAAGTTTTTCCCTTCAGTTTTTTCTTCTCCAGAATTGTGATTTCGGGTTTTATTTCTATCTTTTTTATGAGCTAACGGCAGGTCATGAAGAAACAGAATGCCAGGTGTAATCAATTTTGGATTAATTAACGCGCGAGCGGACTCGCGGCGTTCGCCGCGTAGTTACGACTCGAATTTCGCGAAAAATCGCCGCGCCGGTCGCGCAACCGGCGCGCGACGTCCGGCAGCGACGGCAGGCAGCACAGCCGTAGCAGCTGATAAAAATCCAATAGCCCCAGTGTTTGCCAGCCGGAAAGGGCAATCACGTTCATCATGGTGTCCTGCGCCCCCGCCGTCGCCTCCCGTCGCCCCCGCGGTGCCCACTCTCCCGCCACCCACCTCGCGTCCCTTCCATCCCCCGTGCAGTCTCCCCTCGCTTCAGCCGACAGCTCGAGCAGTTACGTCCTACGAGCCCTGAACGTAGCCGCCCCTGGAAAATCCGGGGGTGGGATTCACGTGCGCGCACGTTGAGGAACGAACGTTTAGGGAGTGACGAGGAGGGACGGAGATTGAAGGGGATCGCGGCACCGTAAGGGAGTCGGCGATAGGGTGGGGGCAGAGCGACGAGATGGAGGGACGAAGGGGAAAAGGGTGGACGAGGGCAGCGCCGCCGGTC